AAATTCAGCAAATCTAGAGCAGGCTAATTTTTCAATTGATAATTTCATACAGCCCACAGATAATATTATAAAAATCCAAATGGCCCTTGGCAGCAAAAAGTTCTCCACCTCTGCTTTATGGTAAAACCTTAGAGAATTAAAGTCAAGAGAAAGACAGATGTGTATCTATCAGTAATATAGGCAAAACCAAATTAAAATCCTAAAGGAAGACAGACAAGATGTCTTTCTAGAAAATTAAAGTGAAATGAACATATTGTTTGTTTTTTTTTTTTTTATTTGACAGAGTGATAGACAGTGAGAGAGACAGAGAGAAAGGTCTTCCTTTACCGTTGGTTCACCCTCCAATGGCCACCTCGGCCGGCGCGCTGCGCTGATCCGAAGCCAGGAGCCAGGTGCTTCTTCCTGGTCTCCCATGCAGGTACAGGAGCCCAAACACTTGGGTCATCCTCCACTACCCTCCCAGGCCACAGCAGAGAGCTGAACAGGAAGAGGAGCAACTGGGACTAGAACCCGGCGCCCATATGGGATGCCGGTGCTGCAGGTGGAGGATTAACCAAGTGAGCCATGGCGCTGGCCCTGTTGTTTGTATTAATAAAAGAATTCAGCATTACTGGATATAAGGTCAGCTTTCAAACTGACTGTAGCTTATCAGAAAATAAAAACTTCTTTATAGGAAGTCCTGTCATGTACCCCAAATGTTACTTCAGAATATATAGTTAGAGGGAGTAAAAGGCAGGTATACTGTATCTATGTGTGGAAAGGTTATTTAAAGTTTATTTAATGCTTTTCACAAGTCCCGAGGGTCAGACTGTGGGACTCTGTTCATGGCGGTGTGTGAACAGAGTGGGAGCTGCTGTGCTGGGGCCACTGCAGGTCCAGCATTTAGGAAGTGTCTTATGCTCTTTAACTGGGTAGTAGTTGAGAGGAGTGCCACAGAAATGGTAACCAAAAAGCTACCATGCTTCCAGAAAAGTCTCAAGGAAAAATATTATAAGCACCAGCAGTAGCTGTGGGACCAGGCTAAAAGAACAGGTGGAGAGATTAACTGAGTGAGTGTGAGAGTTGGAGATAAAGTTTTTCCAGAATATGGAGGCACAAAGTAGTCCTAGATGGCAAGGATTATTTTCTGTCTAGAGATGGTGACATTCTTAGAAGATACATAGATTGAAATCTCTGTTGAAATGGCGTACGTGAGACTGCATCCCACTGAAGTTCTGGAGTCTTCTATCATGTAAATAATTTTCATGTCTGTCTAAGATAATGACACCTGTTGTATCTAAACTTCAGTTTCACAGTTCTGTTATAAACATTTCCAAATTAAATGTATAAATAAAAAATAAAATATATTTAGTAATAATACCAAAAAGTTATTGTTTTGTAAATTATGTAATTTCTGACAAAAATGTAGTGGCTTTTTTTTTTCTCTGTAGAAAATTAGCTTCATATGTAAAAGTAGAGGCATAAGAATAGCCAAGACAGTTCTTGAAAAAAAAAAAGGCAGCACTTGCCCTGATGGATATGGAAACTAATTTAAAAATTATAATATGGGAGCTGGCAGTGTGGTGTAGCAGGTAAAGCCACTGCGTGCAGTGCCAGCATCCTATATGGGTGCCAGTTCAAGTCCCACTGCTCCACTTCCAATCCCGCTCTCTGCCATGGCCTGGGAACACAGTACAAGATGGCCCAAGTGCTGGGGCCCCTGCTCGAGCGTTGAAGACCTGGAGGAAGCTCCTGGCTCCTGGCTTCAGATCACCACAGTTCTAGCTGTTGGAGCCATTTGGGGGGTGAGCCAGTGGATGGAAGACCTCTCTTTCTGCTTCTGTCTGCCTCTTTATAACTCTTCCTTTCAAATAAATAAATGAACCTTTTTAAAAAATAAAAATTATAATATGTAAAGTAGAATACTACAGGACAGTGAGAAAGAATAAAGTGCTGCACACCGACTGAGATGGAACCTGCAGACTTCTTTTGTAGTAAGTTAAGGTGGTAGTAGTGCTGATGGATGGTGAGAGAGATCTTGGAAGCCTGGTGCTGACTGGAAAGGGTTGTGTGGGAGCCTCGTAGAGGGTGAGGAGGTTGGTATCTTGGTGTGGGTTGGATCGCTGGGGGTGGGGTTGAGTGTTCAATCACATTGGCTCACTGTGTGTTTTAAGTTATATGTCAGTAAAGTAACAGGATAGCATGGTATTTGAAGTGGCATAATAGTAGTGCAAGAGAGACAGTACTAGTAGAATAGAGTTGAAGCGTGGATCCACACGTACTTGGAAAGTTGGTCAGTGCTGGAGATAGCTTTTCCTATCTATAGGGAAAGAGAAAGTGGCCTGTTGAATTGGCTTTCTGTCTGAGGGAAAAATTAAAGCTCTCCTTCGCACAAAAAGCAAAGTAAATTCCTGTTGAAAATAGACAATAAACATCAGAATATTGTTTTAAAAAAGAGGAAATCATAGAGTATGTGACTTTAGGATGTGGAAGATCTTTAACAAATCAAGAAAAGAAGAACCAGCCATCAAGGAGAAATGATTTAATACATCAAAAAGAAAAACTTAGGTTTAATGAAAGAGGTTGTAAACTCAACTGAAAGACAAGTGGCATGACTGGGAGAGAGATGTGCTGTCTTTAGTGTCCAGTGGATTTAGAACCAGACTATGTTAAAAAAGAAAAACACAGATGGAGGACACAAATAAAACGAGTGGTGGATGGATATGCAGGCAGCTTGCAGCAGAAGAAGCTGGGAATTGGAGATGCTCAGTCTCACTGCAGGGAAATGTGGTTTAGAACCACGAGAGCTGTCAGACTTAGACTGCGAGCTCAGGACTGGGGTGTGCTCCTTCCATGGTGGAAAATGGGCACACCCTGGCGTCCCGCATTCACTACTAGTCAGTGTTTTATTTTTTATTTTTTCCAGAGAGAGAGAGACAGAAAGATCTTCCTTCTGTTGGTTCGCTCCCCAAATGGCCGCCATGGCTGGTGCACTGCGCCAATCCAAAGCCAGGACCCAGGTGCCCCCTCCTGTCTCCCATGTGGGTGCAGGGCCCAAGGACTTGGGCCATCCTCCACTGCCCTCCTGGGCCACAGCAGTGAGCTGGACTGGAAGAGGAGCAACCGGGACAGAATCTGGCGCCCCAACTGGGACTAGAACCTGGAGTGCCGGTGCCGGAGGCAGAGGATTAGCCTAGTGAGCCATGGCGCCGGCCACTATCCAGTGGTTTAATCTAGAAAAACATGCACCTCTTTGCCCAAGGAGAATTGCTCATGGATATTCATTTGGAAAAAAAAAAAAAATCTCAATGTCCCGCTGCAGGAGGGCATAGATAAGTAAGATATGCAGTTATGCAGTGGAGAACTGCCATGACCTGAGCTTAGATTATTATCCTTAGTGATTATTTGTTTCAATTAAAGACGAAGGTTTGAATTAAGTGTCTGATTATATATTCTTCTGGGTTTTGGGTATTATTCTAAGTACTGTATTTTATTTTAATCCTCATGAGAACTCAGAAATAGGGGCTATCATTATCTCCATTTTACGGATGGCAGTTCTCAGCATGGAGGCCTGATAACCTGCCAACTCTGACCTCTGGTAAGTGGCAGAGCTGAGCTTCAGAGCTGGGTTTAAAAGCTCAGCTGCTTGACTGCAGAACCCACTGCTGCCTTTGACTGTGAATGTGGAGAAGCCTCATAAGTATGACTGGAAGAATGATGTGTTGATGAGTTATTCCAGCCATCAGTTCACACCAGGAGCCAGGAACTCCATCTGGGTTTCCCACGTCTTGGGTGGCAGGGACTCAAGAACTTCAGCGCTCATCTGCTGCCTCCCAGGGGTATTAGCAGGAAGCTGCATCAGAAGTGGAGCAGCTAAGAACAAACCCTCCCCCAATATGGAATTCAGACATCCTAAATGGTACCATGACCCAGCCCTTGAGTAATGCTTATTTTTTTTAAAGGTTTATTTTATTTGAAAAGCAGACTGATAGGGAGGGTTTAAAAACATAGGAGCTGTCAGAGGGAGGGAGTGAGAGAGAGAGATCTTTGATCTTCAAATGGTTGCAGCAGCTCAAAGCTCTGAGCCTGGAACTCCATCAGAGTCTCCTGCATTAACAGTGAGGACCCAAGCACTTGGGCCACCTTCCATTGCCTTCTCAGGTGCATCAGCAGGGAGCTGAATGGGAAGCAGAGCAGCCAGGACTTGAACCAGCACTCAGATATAGAAGCTTAATCTGCTGCACCACTGCCCTGGCCCCACGTAGTAATATTTTATTCTGTAGGAAATTTTGGCCTAAAAAAAAATCCATTTTATTTCCGTATTACTGAGTCTTGTATAAAAAAATTTAATACCTTTTTTTTAAAGTAGTAGTGTTTTTCGTTGTTGTTTTTTTGACAGAGTGGACAGTGAGAGACAGAGACAGAGAGAAAGGTCCTCTTTTTGCCGTTGGTTCACCCTCCAATGGCCACTGCGGCTGGCGTGCTGCGGTCGGTACACCGCCCTGATCCGTTGGCAGGAGCCAGGTGCTTCTCCTGGTGTCCCATGGGGTGCAGGGCCCAAGCACTTGGGCCATCCTCCACTGCACTCCCGGGCCATAGCAGAGAGCTGGCCTGGAAGAGGGGCAACCAGGACAGAATCCGGTGCCCCGACCGGGACTAGAACCCTGTGTGCCGGCGCCGCAAGGCGGAGGATTAGCCTAGTGAGCCGCGGCGCCGGCCAAAGTAGTAGTGTTACAATGTTGGGATTGTCCATTGGTTTTTTTCTGTTAGTGTTACTGTATTCTGTCTTTTAAGTCAGTGCTGTCTTGTAAAACTGTTTATGTTCTGTTTTATCTGTGAAATTCTGATTTGCCTAAAACCACGTTTCTTCAAGTTTCCAGGTGAACCATGGACTGTTTCTAATGTTTATAATTGAGAATTCTAGTGTCTTTAAAATTTGTTGGGGCAGGCCTGTGGCACTGTAGTCAAGCCACTGCTTGGGATGCTCATGTCCTATGTTGGTGTTCTGGTCTGAATCCCAGGTGCTGTGTTTCCAATTCAGCTTCCAGCTAATGCAACTTTGGAAGCAGCAGGTGACGGCTCATGTAAGTGATGTGGGTGGTGGTCCAGGCTTTGGTTTGTGGCCTGGCCAGTTTCAGCTATTTATGGGCATCTGGGGAGTGAACAGTAGTGAAGGATATGTCTGTCTGTCTCTTTCTCTCTGCCTTTCAAATAGCTGAAAATAAATAAACATTTTTACAGTGGCATGGCATCTCATGAAAAGGAGTGCTGGGAGAGCGATGTGTTTTCTCTGTGTAAGCTGGAGTCATTGTGAGATTCTGCTCAAAGGGGTTATGTCAATATCCGAGAATTGCTGAGAATTGGTTTGCTTGAACCGATAAAAATGAACAACCTGTATCTCACGTTATACATAACACTTAGGCTGTAATTGAGAAAGTCCTAAAATAAAGCGTTGTTTTATGCTGGACAGATTTAGTTCAACTTTTGACCTAACCCTATTCTGTGTGTCCATGCTGCTCTCTTACTGTGTAACCCTCTTGCCAGAGATGACATGGAGAGTCTGGGTACCATATGGGAACTCTGAAGGCTCTACCTTCTGGCAGAGACTCGGGTCATTCTCTTTTATTGGACAGTGTGGGAAGCTCTCACTGTTTTTCACCTTAAAACAGTCTTATCTAAGATTTATAAAAGAGGAGCTTGATACTAAAGGAACAAACGATATTAAATTAAGTGAAAATGTTAAAATGGTCACATGAATTAAAGGCTTTTGATAAAACATGACTCATTTGGAATAGCACTGCTCAATAGAAATAACAGTATAATGTAAGCCACAAAATGGGGCCATAAGAATAGTTTTAAATTTTTCATGGCCCCCCAAAATTACAATGTAACAAGTAAAATTACTTTTAATACTATGTTGTATTTAACTCAATATGCAATGAGTCTCCAAGCAGTTCATGGAAAATATGTATTATGAGTAAATTATGCATAGATTTCAGAAGCATTTTAAACCAAACTGATCTTTTTTTTTTTTTAACTTTTAGTTACTGAATATAAATTTCCAAAGTACGACTTATGGATTATAATGGCTTTCCCCCCATACCATCCCTCCCACCCGCAACCCTCCCCTTTCCCACTCCCTCTCCCCTTCCATTCACATCAAGATTCATTTTCGATTATCTTAATATACAGAAGATCAGCTTAGTATACATTAAGTAAAGATTTCAACAGACCAAACTGATCTTTTAATTCCATTTTCCTACAAGCTTTTTGAAGTACGCTCTGTCTAATATAGCTTTTGTGTTAATAGGGAGATGCTTTCTTTTCGTTTCTTTCAGGCCTGCAGCACATCCTGTGTGGACGGGTCACCTGTGAGGTGCTCAGGGTCAGGGGTGGTTTCTGTATTGTACAGCTCAGACTGCGCCCTGAAAAAGCTTTTGACTTAATCTTACTCTGCTTCTGTTAGTTCCAGGAGAGCTGCCCTGAGTATCTTGTTTCAGTTACTGCTTCTGGTTCACCCTTACTGTTCATCATGGGTTATCTGGAAGTTTGCTGACCATTCCTGAATTTAGCAGAGCATTGAGGTCTTTGTGTGGTGTTTCTTGGGACCTAGGACTGCCTAGTTTCTTTATATACATTTCCCTTTGTAAGTTTTTAATCAGAATACCAAATCCTGTTTTCCATCGGAATATCTGATGCAGACCTGTGAGGGCTGGAGAAGTAGGTCTGTGCAGGATCTTCTTCCTCTGCCAAGCGAACACATCTCTGATTCTTAGGTTAAGTGAGTTCCTATGAACCAAAAGGATCCTGAATAGGATGACTTCTTAAAGTGGCAGCCAGCATCCCATTAAGGGGATGGATACTCTTTGCCTAGATACTCATTTCTTAGAGGCTTTCAAATGAATTCATTTTTCTCTACTTTCTTTCGAAGTGGATGCTTTTTGAGAGTAAGCATATTGCAAAAATAAAGCCAATGTCTAAAGTACAGCACACGTGACTTAACATTTGGATAGCATCTTGGTTTCACCTTTTCTAAGATGATGGACATTGAAGAAAATTATTGATAGTAAATGAATTTATCTCCTCTAATGCTGATTATCCATAAGTCCCAACACCAGCAGAAGAATCCTGCGTGTGTAGTTAATTTCAAACAGTGCCAGACTTTGCTCTATTAAAATGAGATTGAATGGACTCCAGATGTTTGTGTTCAGGTTCTGAGGTTTCCTGGGATCCCTGTTTTCTTGTCGTAATTAGTATTTACTTTCCATACCTGTTCTGAATTTCTGCTCTTTCTCATCTGACCTCCCTGTCTGACTTCCTCCCATTCTACCAGGATCTCAAGAAACCATTTGTTTCTTCTCAGCCCTGCAATTCAGGCATGCCCACTGTTGGCAGACTTCACCCAGGACAATTAGCGTTACATTGGACTGTTTTTTCCCTGAAAAGCTAATAGTTTCAGCCACAGCAGACAGTTTGAAGGGAGGGTATGGAATTGACACTAGCATAGGGCCCGGGGCACATATGGAACTTAGTAAATGTTTTCTGAGTGAGTGTCTGGTGTTGTGACTTGGTGTATTTTTTAGGGTGTAACCAGGTGTTTCAGGAGGACTGAGTTTTATTTCATGGCCTGTAGCTCTGTGAGGCTATGAAATTTTCTTTGCTGTGTTCTCATGTCCAGATGGTACCTGGGAATCATGGATATGTTACTGATATTTCACCAAATGAAAAAAAAATATGAAAGAATAGACATGTCTGTGGATAAAGATGACCTTATATAGCAGTAACTTTGCATTGAACTGGAAATAAACTGGAAGATGGTTAGTACAACCTTGCTAAAAAAAAATCTCTGGGTGCACTTCTGTTTATTGTTTGCCAGCTGCCGCAGGCCAGCGTCATCTCTGGTCTGGCTGCTGCAGCAGTGTACCTTGTCCCCATAGTTCCATGAGTGGCATGTTTCAGTTTGTTCTATGCATGGCATTTTAAAGGCATTTTAAATGTTGGCAGTTAGTTCCCTTCTCAGGAGTACGTGAGAAGGCTGCCTGTGGCACTTGGAATAAAATCCTAAACCCCCGGCTAGCCTGGCCTGCCAGCCTCGCAGGTTTCTTGTCCTGCGATGGATGCCCACATTCATGGTGCTGCTACGTCATGGACTTCCCTTCAGTTTCTGGGATGCACCTAATTCTGTGCCTCCTTTGTTTATGTGGTACCTGCTTTCTGCCTGTCTCACTTAGGAGACCTCTTTGTATAATTTACATGTCAGTGTGTTGTATTTTATGAAAACTGTTCTTTGGCTGTTATCCACCCCCATTCCAGTTAGAATCTCTCATGGTGTTGGGCTAGGGTAGAGAAAAATGAACATTATGGTTTGTATTTAATGTGTGAAATAACTGTGTAGCAAATTTGGGTAACAAAAGAGTGAGCCTGGAAGGGAGAAAGAGAAAACAAAAAGCAAGACCAGATGTGCTTGTTACGATACTCAGTGCTCATGACATGAGCCCAGCTCCTAAGGAAGACTCGGATTACCTGAAATACAAAACCCAGATATGTACTTGCAGTTTGCACAGTAGAACAGAATTGCTAAGGTTGTTGGGAGTAAATGGATACCCAAATAAGACACTAGGAAAGCAGCTGTATAAACAGAAGAGTTATCAATGGTTTTGTAGTATTGTTTGAAAAAGCTGAATTAAAAGCAGCACACATGGACCAGATACTTATATAAGTGATTAAGGTGCATGCATGCTGCATCACAATGCCTGGATTCAGGTCCAGGCCAGGCTTCCGACTGCAGCTTCCCGCCAGTACGTATCCTGGAGGCAGTGCATTTCAATCTCTGCCACTCTTTGGGAGACTTGCATTGTGTTCCTGGCACCTGTTTCTGGCTGTGGCTTGGATATCATGGGCATTTGGAGAGTAAATCACAGTAAACCAGGAGCTCTCTCACTATCTGTCTGTCTCTTTAGTTCTCAAATAAGAAAAAAGGTGATACCCATAGCATGAGGAAAAACAGAAAGGTACTTTATGATAATCAATGATATAGTTCCTTATTTAAATGGAATCACAAATTTCTATGAAAGATGAAGCAGTAAAATATGCAAAATGAAAACCTAGGGAGGAACAGAGAAACAGTATGAGAGTACTTAATTTATTTAAAAAGATTTTTATCATTTTTTTTTCTTTGAGAAGCATACAGGGAGAGAAGCAAATAGAGCACTCCGTCCAGTGGTTCACTCCCCAAGTGCCTTCCATGGCCACAGGACCTGGAAGCCTAGCTGTCTCCATGCGAGTGGCAGGAACCACTTGAGCCATCAGCCCTGCCTTCCAGAGTCCGCATTAGCGGGAGCTGGAGTCTAGACCCAGAGCCAGGGATTGAACCCATTTGAAACAGCCGCCCAGCGTGAGTCCTTTCAGTATGAATGCTAGTGGGGACATTGAAGTAGCTTCCAGTCCTTGCTACATCAAAGAAATAAAAAGTGACGTATGAAGAATCTGGCACATACACAGCCGTGTACTTAGAACAACGTTTTGGTCAACGGCAGACTGCATAGATGTTGGGGCTGGAAAGTTCCCATCACCTGGTGGGAGTGAACGTGGCAGCCTAGTGTGACACCCGACTCCTGTTTGTGTGATGCTGATGTGGGTCCATCTGCTACACTAGTGATGGCACACAGATAGAGTACACAAGTATGTGCAGTTCATAGCACTTGGTAGTGAACAGCTGGGCTACTGATTGATGTATTTGCTATGCTAGTCATTATTTAGAGTGTGTTCATTCTACTGAAGCATGTTTACAGTGAAATAGTGTGTTGCATGTTGCCAGTTTGTGTCTAGGGTTGTGTTTATACTCTGTGATGTTCACAAAACAATGAAATCGCCTAATGATGCATTTCTCTGAACAGATCCCCATTGCTAAGCAATGCATGAATGTAATCATTAAGGTTGTTAAAGTATAGTATACTCTCACTTGACAGAAAAACATCTTACATTTTTTAGTTTTTTATTTATTTTCATTTATTTGAAAGAGTTATCTTCCATCTACTGGTTCACATCCCAAATGGCTGCAGTCATTGGGCTGAGCTGGGCTGAAGCCAGGATCCTGGAATTCCTTCTGGGTCTCTCATATTGGTAGCAGGGAAACAGTACTTAAACCATCACCATGCCTCCCAGTGTTCACACTTCAGCAGGAAGCTGGAAGTGGAAGCAGAGAACTTGATCTTAGGCACTCCAGTATGGGATTTGGGTGTCCCAAGCTGCTCTTAACTGCTGAGCCAGAGGCTCCCCTACCCCTCAGAAAAACATCTTTTCAGTTCCCCGTGAACATTTTTAAGAAATAACTTGCAGATTGTTCTGGAAAGAACACTGAAAAAAAAAATTTAAAAGTAGCAGTATTGTCAGCTCTTGAATAAAATGAAATGAATGAATGAAACACATGCTCTTGAATGAAACTCTAATAAAAGCAGAAGCCAGAAACCAAACTACAAAACCTTCCCAGAGGTAGAACAATAATTACACTCACTAGAATAAAAAAATATAGGGGCCGGCACTGTGGCACAGTGGGTTAAAGCCTCAGCCTGCTGGCTGGCATCCCACATGGGCACCAGTTCGAGTCCCCGCTGTTCCTCTTCTGACCCAGCTCTCTGCTATGGCCTGGGAAAGCAGTACAAGATGGCCCAAGTCTTTGGGTCCCTGTACCCACGTGGGAGACCGGGAAGAAGCTCCTGGCTCCTGGCTTCGCATCAGCTCAGATCTGGGCATTGCAGTCATTTGGGGAGTGAACCAGCAGATGGAAGACCTCTCTCTAGCTCTGGTTCTACCTCTCTCTGTAACTCTGTCTTTCAAAGAAATAATTCTTTAAATAAATAAATAAATAAATACTCTGTCCCCAAAATACTAAGTCAGGGTCTAAAGATATGACAAACTGGTGGTTCAGGAAACTAATTAGAATAAAATGTTGTTTGTGCCCGATATACATTTCATAGGCGTGTGTAATGGGGACTAGCATAATGGCACAGTGGGTTAAGCTGCCTCTTGCAGTGCCAGCATCCCATATCAGTGGCAGCTGGAGTCCAGCTGCTGTGCTTCTAGTCCATCTTCCTGCTAACTGACCTTGGTTTCCTCATCCTGTACAGAGGAATTTGAAATTAAATTAATTGGGGACTAGGTGAGGCCTCGCGGTTTAGTCCTCAGTTGGGACAGCTGGGCCGCATATTGGAGGACTTGGGTTCCACCTTCCTGCTAATGTAGCTGCTGGCAGGCGGCAGCTCGAGTTGTTGCTTGGGTTCCTGGCTCCTGGCTTTGGCTGGAGCTGGTTGCAGGCATCTGGGGAGTGAGTCAGCAGATTGGAGCTCTCTGTTTCTGTCTGTCTCTACCTCTAAAATAAACAAACAATTGAAAAATTAGCTGTCATTGTATTCTTTTTACTAAGGCAATGAAACATGTAGTACATTTTGGGAACCAAAATTTAAGATTTGATGTTTTGAAATTTGTGTTTTAATCAGCTGGCAAATCAGTTTTATCTAAATACTCCATTCTCCATTACCTATAATGAAGTCCTGCTACATTTAGTTTCTAACAGAGCTGTAATCAATATGCAGTAGAGTATCTGAGTCTCATGTGTTCAGTCTGGCTGTATTTACTTTGAATGCTGTGGTAGTGTCCTCTAGTTTCACAGTGCTTGATAAAATCCAGATCTGAAGGAGTCATTCAAATTTGCTGTATTTATTTATTTCCCTCATTTTTGACTTTTTTTCATTTAAAGTTGACAATTTTGCTTATGCTAGGTTTTTTGTTTGTTTGTTTTACCCAGAAACCTTTTATTTAAGGTATACAAACTTCATGCATTTCATAAATACAACTTTGGGAACATAGTGATAGTGATTCTTTCACTGTACCCACCCTCCTCCCTCTCCTATTCCCATTCTTATTTTTTTGCTAAGATCTATTTTCAATTAACTTTATACACAGAGGATTAACTCTATACTAAGTAAAGAGTTCAACAAGTTGTATGGAAAAAATAAAACTGTTCTTCAACAGTTTTTGGATTTCTGTTTTGATTTCTTCTGTGACCCACTGTTCATTCAGGAGCATGTTGTTCAGTCTCCATGTGTTTGCATTTGTTCTAGAAGTTCCTGAGCTGTAGATTTCCAGCTTCATCCCACTGTGGTCAGAGAAGATGCATGATATGATTTTGATTTTTTTAAAATTTCTTGAGACTTGCTTTATGGCCTGGGCTGTGGTCTGTCCTGGAGAAAGTTCCTTGAACTGGTGAAAAGCATATGTGTCTGCAGCTGTAGGGTGAAAAGTTCTGTAGATAACTGTTAGGTCCACATGGTCTGTAGGGTCGACTGACTGCTGTTTGCTTGCTGACTTTCTGTCTGGTTGATCTGTCCACTGCTGAAGTCGACTATTGAAGTCCCCCAGTGCTATTGTGTGTTTTCACAGCCCAGCAGACAAGGCTCCCTCTGTCATGAGCGTGCATCCTGCTGTCTGTTCTCCCAGCCAGACTAACACGTTTCCTCTCGACTGGTTGGTGGGCGCGTGGACACGAGCTAGCACAGCTGTTATGTATGTCCAAAATTGTGCCTGCCCGCTCTTGGCTGATTACAGGACACCAGTACAGGGTGGTGTGTGAGAGAAACGTGCCCCACTTTCTCCTCTAGGTTGGCAGGCACACTGTCCCCCACAGGGCTCCACGCCGGACTCATGCCAGGCTCTTCCTGCAGCTTTATCACAGCGGCTTGGGCTGCTGCAGTCTGGTCTCACCTCACTCTCCAAAGCCGGTGCTGAGGCTCTCGGCGGCTGGGGTCCCGAGTTGTGTGTGTCCACACCCTCCACCTAGGTCCACTGTGTCCCTCTAATTTATGTGGAATTTCTTCTGCCGTTTAATCCCTAACTCTTCCCTGAGATTGTACTCTGTCTGCATTTTTTTTAAAGCTGTCTTCCCCCAGAGTAGACACTAGCCTGTTTCCCCTAGACTAGTAAGCTCCCTTCCACCACCTGGGTGACTTAAACTTGCTGTATTTAAAAGGGTTCAGTTCCAGCATGCATTTGTGTTGTAGCCCTGCGTGGTAGAGTCATTTTTGGCTGGCATGGTGCTGAGGGGGAACTGTGAGGGGGGATGGGAAGTTCACTGAAAGCACGCCTGGTCTGTTCCTCAGCTGACCTGGAGGGTGATGAGAAGCCGGCAGAGGACAGAGGCTCCTCGGAGGTCGTTCCTTTCTGTCTTTGGGGGAAGAAGCTGCAGTGCCCTTGTGTTTGAGAAGTGCTGAGATGCAAGGGCACTTGTTTGTTCTTCCTGAATTTAGGGCTGCGGCCATCAACACCCGTGCCTGTTCTGTCCACCTCCCTTTGCCTTTACATCGTCTCATTTTTGATGCATTTCTCTGTGTGTTGCTGTTGTTATGCCCAACAGTTGTGTTAGAAAGTGTCTGCTCTGTTCAGGCAGTCCAATGGGGAGGCACCAATTTCCCCTAGTTCTTGATGTCCCAGGCACCTCCCTCTGCCTATTTCATCCTCTAAGTGGCCTCTTCATGGTCTCAGGCTAGCTAATCTACTGCCTGGATTTCATCTCCAGGAGGGGAAGCAGGGAGTAGAGGCACCTCTGTCAGAAAAGGAAAACTCCTTGACATACCCAGTTGTTTTTATGTGTGCTGTCTCAGCCAGAACTGTGTCGTGGCTGCTTCTAGGTTCAAGGGGAGTTTAGGGAGATGAGTTTTGTTGACTTTTTTTCCCCCCAATAATTTAAAAGTATTTATAGACATGATTCATGTTCAGTCTTTTCCTTTTTTATGTTTTCAAACATATACAAGGGCAGAGTAATTAACTGTGCTGTATCTATGACCTGACCTCAGTTATCAGCTCACAGGCAGTTCCGTTTTGTCTTGACTTCTCCCCACTTTTTTTTAAAGATTTTTATATTTTTATTTGAAAGAGTTATGCAGAGAGAGGAGAGGCAGAGAGAGAGAGAGAGAGAGGGGTCTTCCATCTGATGGTTCACTCCCCAATTGGCCGCAATAGCCAGAGCTGTGTTGATCTGATGCCAGGAGCCAGGAGCTGTCTCCGGGGTCTCCCACACAGGTGCAGGGGCTCAAGGACTTCAGCCATCTGCTGCTGCTTTCCCAGGCCATAGCAGAGAGCTGGATCGGAAGTGGAGCAGCCAGGTCTCAAACCCATGTCCATATGAGATGCCACAGCACCGGCCCCAACTTCTCCCCACTTTTAAATTCTGTATTATCTTGAAGCAAATCTCAAACACCATATTATTTCACCCATAAATATTTCAGTATATAGTACTATAAGATGAAAACGTGAAATTTAGCTACAATGTCTTTATCACAGCTAAAGAAAAATGTAATTATTATTTAGTTTCTTCAGATGTCCCATAAATATTTCCAAGAGGTGGATTTTTTTTTTTAGTTGTACACAACTTCTGCTGCCTCCAACCACAGATCATGGTTCCATTGATGAAACAGAGGAAAGGACATATTGGATATGCATCTGGCAGCATCTGCCACGCCTTTTAAATTCTGTGTCTGAAAGTAAGTCTGGGCCCAGTGCTGTGGCGTGGTGGGTTGATTCTCCACCTGTAGCGCCAGCATCCCATGTGAGCGCCAGTTCTACTCCCGGCTGCTCGTCTTCCAGTCCAGCTCTCTGCTGTGGCCTGGGAAAGCAGTAGAAGATGGCTCAAGTACTTGGGCCCCTGCACCTGTGTGGGAGACTCGGAGAAACTCCTGGTTCCTGGCTTCGGGTCAGCGCAGCTCCGGCCGTTGCGGCCATTTGGGCAGTGAACCAACGGCTGGAAGACATTTCTCTCTGTCTCTCCCTCTCACTGCCTGTAACTCTACCTGTCAAATAAATAAATAAAATCTTAAAAAAAAAAGAAAAGAAATCCAAGTACTTTGAACATCTAATGCTTTCTCAGGCCTGTTAGCAGGGAGCTGGGTCAGAAGTGGAGCAGCCAAGACTCGATTTGGCACCCATATCTGATCCTGGCATTGCAGGTGGAGGCTTAACTCATTATGCCACAGAGCCAGCCCAGTGTTTTTTTTTTTTTTTCCAAAGAATTTGGCCATAATTGAGATTTTATTGGTATTGAGAATCAGCACACACATTTTAATTTGTACACAATTCTTTTTTTTTTTTTTTAGATTTATTTATTTATTTGAAAGAGTTACACACAGAGAAGGAGAGGCAGAGAGAGAGAGAGAGGTCTTCCATCCACTGGTTCACTCCCCATTTGGCCGCAACGGCTGGAGCTGCCCCTATCCGAAGCTGGGATCCAGGAGCTTCTTCCAGGTCTCCCACATGGGTGCAGGGGCCCAAGCACTTGGGCCATCTTCCACAGCTTTCCCAGGCCATAGCAGAGAGCCGGATCAGAAGTGGAACAGCTGGGACTTGAACCGGCGCCCATATGGGATGCTGGCACTGCAGGCGGCAGCTTTACCTGCTGCGCCACAGCGCCAGCCCCTTGTACACAATTCTTAACATATGTACCAAAAATCTAAAAAGCCATGAATTGTCATTCTTTTTTTTTTTTTTTAAGTTATTCCAATGACTTTCCAGCCTCTTCCTTAAGAGGCTATCAGGTACAAGTATCTTCAAATGTTGCTGTTACATAAATCCCACCCATTCACAATTTAACATAATATACAGGACACTCAGTCTTTCACAGCACATTAACTAAATCATTAGGAAAACTGGACTACCATAACCAAAGGTGTTACAGAGTGCACATGGTTCTGACAGAACAAGGAATGGTTTTCTGTAGGAAACAATTCTACTAAACAACATAGGAGAAATAACTGAAAACATTTGAGACAGATTAAATGCACAATCGAGATTCCCAATTGCCATATAGTATGCATTGTATTGTAGGATTTAAAAACCGCCTCACCTGTGGAATGTTAAGCTGACGCCCAAGACTGTCAAAGCCTCCCATAATTCAATATGCCACTATTTTCTGGTTGTACCAAAAAATAAACAACCAGCAAATGACTTCACCTCTTAAAAAAATCATTTACACTTAAAAAATGGGATGAGGTGGGCTTCCCTCCTCCTTAAAAATGTTTCTAGAGCTACTATAAAGCTTGCATTTACAAAACAGTTGATGAAAGAGTTCCTCTGGACTGTACCAGAAGGGAGACAGGGACCACTGGAAACATGTGGTATGTGATGTGAATCAGACGTGGCTGCACCACGGGCTGGACGCTCCTCACGTTTAGCTTCTCCGCTTTCTGCAGGCGGGTCTGCTTCAGCCTCTGGGGAGCCCCTCGGCTGCTTTCCCTGTGCTCCACGCTCCCCCTTTGCTTGCACTCTTTTGTCTGATGACTTATCCTCCCGGGCGGCCTTCTTGGGCTTCACCTCCACTGTCATTGGGCCGGCTTCGCCAACAGCTGCGCTGACCTCCTGTTGGGCTTCTCCTTTGCTGCCCCTTTGGCAGTGTTTTGTTTTATTTTTTAAGATTTATTTATTTTATTTGAAAGGCAGAGTTATGGAAATAGAGGGAGAGACAGAGAGAGACCTTCCATCTGCTGGCTCAGTCCCCAAATGGGCACAATAGCTAGGGCTGGGCTGGGCTGGGCTGGACCAGAGCCAGGAGCCAGGAGCTGAATCTCGGTCTCCTATGTGGGTACCAGGACCCAAGCACTTGAGTCATCTTCCACTGCTTTCCCAGGTGACTTTACCTGGGAGGGAGGGAGCTGAATCAGAGTGGAGCAGCCAGCCACCTATATGGGATGCCAGCATTGCAGGGGTGTCTTTCTTTTTTTCTTTTCCTTTTCCTTTTCCTTTTCCTTTTCCTTTTCCTTTTCCTTTTCCTTTTCCTTTTCCTTTTCCTTTTCCTTTTCCTTTTCCTTTTCCTTTTCCTTTTCCTTTTCCTTTTCCTTTTCCTTTTCCTTTTCCTTTTCCTTCCTTCCTTCCTTCCTTCCTTCCTTCCTTCCTTCCTTTCTTTCTTTCTTTTTTACAGGCAGAGTGGACAGTGAGAGAGAGAGACAGAGAGAAAGGTCTTCCTTTGCCGTTGGTTCACCCTCCAATGGCCACCGCCGCCGGTGCACTGTGGCCGGCACACCGCGCTGATCCAAAGGCAGGAGCCAGGTGCTTCTCCTGGTCTCCCATGGGGTGCAGGGCCCAAGCACTTGGGCCATCCTCCACTGCACTCCCTGGCCACAGCAGAGAGCTGGCCTGGAAGAGGGGCAACCGGGACAGAATCCGGCGCCCCAACCAGGACCAGAACCCGGTGTGCCGGCACCGCAAGGCGGAGGATTAGCCTAGTGAGCCGTGGCGCCGGCTGCAGGGGTGTCTTTTTTTTTTTTAATTTTTTTTTTATTTCTTAAAAAGAAATAAATTTTTTTTATTTCTTATTTTTTTTGGACAGGTGCTGCTCCTCCGCACGCGGAGGAGCCGCACCAGACCGGGCGCTTGTTGTTCCCTTTTTTTTACAAGTCCTTTCTATAGTAAAGTAAGAATAAGTAAACAGCAAACTCCCAAAGCAAGAATGAGTAGAGAGAAATGAGAAAGAACGAAGTAACGAACTTCCCCGCGAACTCTCCAACGCACTCTCCAACCAACCCACCCCACCATGCCGTCTCTCTCCTCCTATATAGTCCTCCTCCGCCAATCCTAACTCGGCTGCCCACACGCCGAGTACGCTGCTCTCCTCCAATCAGGAGCAAGTCCTACAGTTTATTAGTTGAACTGGAGGCAGCTGTGCGGAAGCTGTTTACTTCTCTCCCAGCGCCATATTGTGGGAGAACAGATGCATAGAATAAGTCTTAATTCCAGTAACTCAGTCTAGTCCGGTTTGCTCCCCACAGACAGGCAGAGTGGACAGTGAGAGAGACAGAGAGAAAGGTCTTCCTTTGCTGTTGGTTCACCCTCCAATGGCCGCCGCGGCCAGCGCGCTGCGGCCGGCGCACCGCGCTGATCCGATGGCAGGAGCCAGGTGCTTCTCCTGGTCTCCCATGGGGTGCAGGGCCCAAGCACCTGGGCCATCCTCCACTGCACTCCCTGGCCACAGCAGAGAGCTGGCCTGGAAGAGGGGCAACCGGGACAGAATCCGGTGCCCTGACCAGGACTAGAACCCGGTGTGCCGGCGCCGCAAGGCGGAGGATTAGCCTATTGAGCCATGGCACTGGCTGCAGGGCTGTCTTAACCTGTTACGCACATCTGCCAGCCCCTGTGTGTCAGTATTAAGCTACAGCGATAAATTTAATAATGGTGACTGCTTAATGTTCACTCTGAAAGCCTTTCCACACGCCGGGCCTCACTGTTAGAGTACCGGAGAGCAAGGTGAGAAGAGCACAGGCTTCATGTGTAGAGCAGATGGGGTTTCAAAGCCTGCAGTACCCACTGGTAGATATCTGTCTTTCCTGAGTAGCTGCTCCTGTAAAATAAAAATACAGCTCTTATCCCAGAGTGTTGTGAAGGGTTACAACCAACAATATCGCCTGACACAGGTTGATCACCCAGTACATTGTAATTATTATTACTTCCTAAGTGATCTTACTGCAAAATGTTCCATTTGTAGGAGTTTATTTTAAATTTTTTCAATTTCAGTTGGCCGAGAGAGAAAAAGAGAGCTCTCATTGACTGATTCACTCTCCAGATGCCTGTAAGAGTCAGGACTGGGCTAGCCTGAAACCAGGAGCCAGGAACATAGTCCAGGCTTCCCACAGTGGGAGAGACCCAGCTAGCCGGCCATCACCGCTGCTTTTCCAGGGTCTGCATTAGCAGGAAGCTGGCTGGAGTCAGGAGGCAGGCACCAGTCCAAATGCCTGCCCCAGCTTTGTAGCTGCATCTGTTGAGGTTCTACAGAGTACTCAAAACTCACTGTAAGAATCAGCTCTTGAGGAGGTTGTCTCTACAGTGCTTTCCCCGGACTCTCCCAGGTAGGTGTGCTTTGTTGGCCTTTTGTACCTGCCATATTTATTCAACAAATACTGAAGAGTACATTGTGTGGTGAGCCCTAGATTCCCCATGTCTGTGTCTTCTGTTCTGTCAAGGCTCCATGATGTTAGGAAACATGCTGGGGTGACGCTGTGGTCTTACGGGTTAGGCTGCTGTGTGCAGTGCCGGCATTCCATATGGGCTCCAGTTTGAGTGCTGCTACTTCGTTTCTGATCCAGCTCCCTGCGAATGAGCCTGGGAAAGCAGTGGAGGATGGCCACCTCTTGGTTGGACCAGGCCAAACCCAGGAGTCAGGAACTCTGGGCCTGCCACGTGGGTAGCAGGAGCTGAAGTATATGGGCCATCATCTGCTGCCTGCCACGTATATTAGCAGATGGCTGGATGGGAAGTACAGAGTAGCTGGGACTGAGTCCCGCACTTTGACAGGAGATGCAGGCTTCTAAGTGGTGTCTTAACTCCCTGCCCCACATTGCTTGCCCCAGGCTAAAATATGTTTGAACAGTTTATGCTGAATTTCTCTGTTCAGTTTATTTGGCTCTGTCCCCATCCTTTCTTCCTGTGCTCTGCGTTCCCATGTCCCACATGAGAAACCACTGTCTACCCAGAGATTTCTTTGTTTGTTTGTTTGTTTAAAGATTTATTATTTGAAAGAGTTGCACGAAAGAGAAGGTCAGGCAGAGAGAGACAGAAGGGTCTTCCATCTGCTGGTTTACTCCCCAACTGGCTGCAAGGGCCGGAGCTGCGCCGATCCAAATCCAGGAACTAGGAGCTTCTTCCGGGTCTCCCATGCGGGTGCAGGGGCCCAAGGACTTGAGCCATCTTCTACTGCTTTCCCAGGCCATAGCAGAGAGCTTGTTTCCGAAGAGGAACAGCTGGGACTTGAAACAGCACCATATGGGATGCTGACACTGCAGGCAGCGGTTTACCCTGCTATGCCACAGTACTGGCCCCTCCCCAGAGATTTCTAATCAAGCGTTTCGTCACCTGTTTCGGTGTAACAGATTTCACCCACTTGGGAGTGGGCAAGCTGAGTGGTCGTGGCTCTGGATGTTTCCTGAAGTCACAGTGTGGATGGCAGCCAAGGTGCAGTCATAGTCCTGCCAGCCCGTCCATTGGCTGTGGTCAAGAGGAGGCCTCACTTCTCACCGTGTGTCCTTCTCCAAAGTGCTGTTTGGGCGTCCTCATGACGCCACAGCTGGCTTCCCCGCGATTGAGTGACTCAGGAAGGAACAAGCTGGAGTCACAGCGTCCTGAGGACCTGGGCTCAGAAGCCCTGCTCTGTCATCTCTGCAGTGCTGCTCTGCGGATGCATCAGGGAGGTCCAGGGTGGGAGGACCACACAAAGGCGTCACTGCCAGGAGCAGGAGAGTGGGAGCTGCGGAGCACTGACATGCAGGCCGGATGGAGAAGCCAAACAGCTGTGTCTTCCCAACTTAGCCCGACTTGATCCTGTAGCACTGCTATTTTGTTAGAAGATGCAACATAGGAAACTTACTGAACTCTCACAAAGATACTGGTTTTTAGTAATGCCGCAAGGGATATAAATAAATAAATGTTATGTCTTCATATCTGTGGATACTTACTGTAAGTTAGTGTGTTAAGGTGCTTTCATGTTATATGTATTTTTAAATTCCTTTTAGAAAGGAGGAGTGGGGGAGCATCTGGCTTGTGGGCCTGTAGGGCCTGTGACATCATCTGGGTAGGCGCTTCCCAGACATGTGCGTACAGGACTTGAAATTCAGTAATTCTGTAGCAGGCTGATTCTTCAGTTGATAACTTTGTGTGGCCTGCAAATGATGTTGCAGATATATAACAGCCCTTGCAGAAGAGATTGCCCCCACCTGTTGAGTAGATAAGTATCAGAGTGAGGTTCAGCTCTAGGCAACGTTACTTTGGAGTCAGGCTCTTAAACATTGTGCCATCATACCTTCGATTGTTTGTATCCTTGGAACACAGGGGATATATAAAGTATTCCATTCATTCTGATAATCAAAACAATCATGCCACATCAAGCGTAATGAAAACACGAAGTGGTTATCATTCACGAGCTCCACATCTGTGAAAGGGGTGGTGTTCCCCAGGATCTGCTCATGAGCTTGGACTGTGAGCGGGGCCCTCGTTGAACTCCTCCTGCTCCTCTGTTAACGGACGGATTTGTGGGAAGCGGTGGCTTGCCCAGGTAATTCTGGATATTGGGATTGAACTGAAGCAGTGCGGATGTAATGCCAGTCAGCTTCCTGGTTACTCTTAGTGGGAGTCAGTCTGCTTTGTAGAGAAGGAGAGAGAGAGGAGGGAGATCTGTTTGCTGGGTCATTCCCCAAGCACCACGATGGCCGAGTCTGGGCCAGACTGAAGCCAGAGCCTGGAACTCCACCTGCATCTGCCATGGGGGTGCAGGGGCCCGCACATTTGGTTCATCTTCTGCTGTCTTCCCAGGTATGTTAGCAGGGAGCTGAATGGGAAGCAGAGCAGCTGAAGCTCAAAGCAGTGCTCCAGTACAGGATCCAGCATGGAAGGTGGTAGCTCAACCCGCTGCACCACAACACCAGCCGACTTGGTGAATTTTTAAATAGTATTTCTTTATCTGAAAGGCAGTGTGACAGAGTGGCCTTGCATCTGCTGTTTCATCCCCCAAATGACTGCAGGAGGCAGAATTGGGCCAGGCTGAAAGTCAGGATCCAGGAACTCCATCCAGATCTCCAGGCAGCTGGATCAGAAGTGGAGCAGCCAGGACTTGAGCCAGCACTGTCACATGAGGTGTTAGTGTCGCAAGCAGTGACTTAACCTGCTGCGCCGCACTGCTAGTCCCAGCTTTGTGAACTTTTTTAAAAAAGCTTCTCCCTCTATTTTTTTGATGGCTTATGCATCACTTCTTTTTTTTTTTTAGATTATTGGTATTTATAGACAAAATAATTTACATATTTATGAGGTACAATGTAATATTTTGGTACATGCATACATTTTAATGATCACATTAGGATAGTTAGCAATCCATCACTTCAT